AGGGGAAAGGAAAGAAGGGAATGGAATAAATGTGAGAAAATGAAAAAAAGGAAACAAAGTCTTTGTAAATAGGGAGGGGTGAGATGGTTGAAGGGAGGGCAGGGGAAGGGGGAAAAATAAGAACCAAGAGAGTATGCAAATTTCCAATGATGAATGTCATTATATTGCATACCTAAAATGTACCAATAAAAGGATACACAGTTTAAAAAAGTTAACTGTTTCTAAGTTTATGAAAAGTTATTAAAACAATTCATTTGAAAGAAAAAAAATAAAAGCATATCTCTTTTTTTGTAAAAAAAGGTATTATTTATTGGAGAGTTGGTTCAGTTTTTCCTGCTTATGAAGATAGGTCTTGGGTTTTAGAATTTTAATTTAGATCTGCTGAAGTATCTGTAAATTTACATGGATATTGCTTAAAATTTCACTTGACAGTCGAAAGCACTCAGGATTATTTATGGCCTTTGAAGATTAGGGAAGTTTCTTTTTAAAATGACTCTAGGATTCGTATGGAATTAGTATTTATGCTATTATTTTAAGCTTATTTATCTTCTCCAAATAAAAACCTTTTAAAGTCTAATCCTGTTATAGTGAAGATAATTTATAGTCTAATTTTTAAATTAAAAATTTAGTTAAAAATAGCCTTAAAATTGAAAGGGATGGCTACTCCTCTTCAACTACTTTTCTGAGCCTGTGTTAAAATGCACTGTGTCTTTTGAAGGAAAGATGTATAGGAGATACAAAGGTCTCCTGGGTTCCAGGAAACTGCATGGCCAGCCTGCACTACTTAGCCCATTATGTGGATATGCAGTAAGGACCTATGACTCTTATTGATAGTCATATACATAAAGGAACCATTAGTTTATTCATTTTATTGAATTCATATTTATTTAAAAGTCAACCCCATTTGATTTTTAAAGATGTGAAAAAGAAATAGGTATGCATAAATCTTGCCAGCAGAGCACCTGACAAGAATGACAATACTGGGTTTCTGCCACGAGGGCTGGCTCAGTTCTAGCATAGGGGGAAGGCTTTCCTAGCTGTGAAAAATCATACCACTGACCTAGAACTTGAGAGAAGAAAGGTGAATGGCATAATCTGTGAGTACAATTTGTTGTAAAATAAAGGGAAATAAGTACATCAAAGGACAAAATGGGAAACAAGCTTTATTTTCCACGAATAAAATAATTTATGGAACTAGTTTGTAAATACAGGCAGGTAAGAGCGGCATGAATCTCTAGATCCAGTGTGGACTTTGCAAGAGACAGGGGAAACCCTGGCTTTTAGAACTCTGCTACTCCCCACTGAGAGAGTAGGGTATTTTTATGTTCTCAGAAAGGCGTTTGGTAACTGCTAGAATATCCTAAGGGAAATACTATAACCTATGACAAAGGAAGATGCTGGTTGGGAATTATGGAGTTTTTGTTTGTTTGCTTTTTGTTTTTAGCTAATTTGATGGTTGACACTTGTAATGTAGATTTTGAGAACACTGCTTTTTATATTTGAGCAGTGAGAGCGCAGTTCCAGAAGGTGTTAAGGAATCCACAAGCACACCTGCTGAAAACTGAGATGCGAGGTTTCACTGTTATATTATGCAGCTCTGGCCTGTGAATCAGAAACTCAATCTTGATTTTGCTGCCCTTCTGGGTTTATTATCTCATCTCACATAAGTACACTTATACACAAGGGCTTTCTAATTCTATAAATGTATTAGCCTTTAATGTAGAGGATAAAATGGTCAGTATCAGTAATTTTAAATTAAAACAATGGATATAAGAAGGACATTTGACTAGATGCAGAACCCCTATTTTCAAGTTCCAGCTCTGCCTGTTGTTAACTGAGGTAAGAATAAATAATTTAAATATTCTCATTTTCATTTCACTCGTCAATTGGAGAATAGTGTTAACTGTCTTGTTAACACTATAGGTTAGCGAAGGAGGAAATAAAGAAATTGCTAAGAAATAATTTCCTGTAGAAAACACAATTATTACTCTTTTACCAACAGAATTGTAGCACTTTGGGGTCTATAAGTCTCATTGTTTATATTTAGCAATGGTTGTCACTGACCCTCAGCACACTTCGAACTCTCATTTTAGGTAGTAAATTGTGGAGCCACTCACACACTCTTGCCCATCCTTCATATTTTGTAGCCAAGTATACATTTCTAGGTAAGCTGTGGCTTTAAGAGGTGAGCTTTTCTCTGAGCAAATATATCTGCTATGTCTTCAGCACCACGGTCTAATAGAATAGCCAACCACTCAAGGCATTTTCACCCTTAAAAAATTAGTGAAGAACAGAATTTGGGTCATTGAAATACTTAATAAAATTAAGAAAAATATGTCATTAAAGGTATAGGATATATAAAAGCACTTTCTAGCATTCTCTGCACAGTGAAAGAATATTTTTTTAAAATAGTATGGTAAGTAAATATAGTTCTGGGGGTTTCATTGCTGGAAGTGTGTACATCTTTTGGGGGTTTTTTTTGGTATGTGTTATCAAAGATGAAGGACTCCCAAAGTAGTGTTCTGACCTTGGTGAATGCACTGCCATCATTAGCATCACAATCATTAGCGTGTGTTTTGCCTTTTCTACAGGACATGACCTGCTATAATGGCTTTACCTATGTTAGCTCATTAAGCCCTGTTCAATCGTATGGGCATCATGATTATACTTATTTGGCATCAGTATTAGGCATTTTGTTCTCCAATATCTCTTGACTAAGTGTATCATTTAATTGCTTTGCACACAAAAGAAAACTCCATCCAACTTGAGTTAGAATCACTCCAGTCATGGGGTATGTCACATGTTAAAGTAATAGTAAGATGTATTGGAAACCTTGTTCATGAAACTATGGGGAGGCATCAGTTCTATGGTGAGAAATTTAAAATGTTCTTTTTTAGGAACTCTGAGTTAGAAATAGTTAAGGTTATCTAGTTTAACTACCTGGCATGATAATGACCATCCTGTTAACTTCTCAAATGCTGAAATACTACATGTTGATCACTGGTATTTCTTATGAAGGCAGAATCCCTAACATAAGTCATTCTAGCAACACAAGCGCAAGCAGAAACACTGTACATATTATTATCTACATTATTATTCACATTACATCTTTGTTATAACAGCCACCTATAGCTTAATTTATATGGTTCAAATATTACTATTTTTAATATCATAAATATTCTTGCATTTAAACTATTACTTCGTCTCTAATTTTAATACCTAGTAAATTTTCTTGCTAGAAGTATTTTTACTGAAATATAGCTTAAAGAAAAGTTTTAGACCTATTTTGAAAAATGTCATAAGTTCATGTGTTCATTTTGCCATTTGTGTAGCAAGAGTAAGAGTTCAGTTTTAAAAATCAACACTGAGAGGGAAATTAAATTCAATGGATATATATGTTAAGTGAATTCAAATTTTGGACAAGTACTTCTTCACTGACAAGTAATTAAAAGATTGCTAGACTATATGTTTAAGACATAGAACTACATAAAGTATATTACAGATTTTTATATATTCATAAATATGTACGATTTTTTTCTCTTATTTAATAGCCATGGTGACTACTTTTCAAACTTTTATGTGAGTCTTCTCCTAAGGCCAGTCTTCAAATAGTTTTAGAATGAGCATTAAACAAGGTACTGTATTTTGAAGAAAAACATAGAAATCCTGCCCTGTGTTAATTGTCTTCCAGAATTACCTATGGTCTCTTTTCAAACCTTTCATATTTTGATTCAAAAGGTGCTACAACAAGCCTAGGTATCTGTATTTTTGAAATGCACACATGGGGAACTAATGTGTAGTGGACAATGTTTAAGAAACTGCAAAATAAAGTCATCTAGAGGGGAATAAATTCATATCAAAAATATTTCTGGGACCCTATCAAAAGTAAGTAGACTAAAAATCTTTGGTGTGTCTATGTTGATAAGCATACCCCTTTCCTGATGACTGCCCTCATACATTTTACTATTTTCACAACTCTTCTTTCTCTTTTTCCCTGATAAAATCTCCCAAATGTACATTTGCCTCTTTCTCTGTAGACTCTGCATCCATGGACTCAACACATTACAGATCAGACAACTCAAAAAACTTCAGCTATACTGAACATGTACATATTTTTCTTATAATTATTCCATAAATAATATAGTATAATAACAATATAGCATTTATATTATATTAGGTATTATAAGTAAACAAGGATAATTTAAAGCATATGGGAGGATGTGCTTATGTCATATGCAAACACTATTTTATATAGGGGTCCACAAATACTGTGCTATTTTATATAAGTGATTGGAAAATCCATGGATTTAGTATTCATGAGAATCGTGGAACCAATCCCTCCATGGATATCAAGGGATGTATCTATATACTTTGATATTGATAGAGCAAGAATGTCAATATCAGCTGGCCCATGTCTTCGCTGAACTAAATTAAGTATATTGAGAAGAAAGAACACAGATGTTAAAGGTAAAAGAAGGGGGCAGGGAAATTGGTAGAATTGAACAGAAGTGTCAGATAATACCAGGAAATACCCCAGGAATCTTAGTATCTTCAGTTTATGTCTCTTGCTATTGGTTAACTTCAGCTACTCTTTACTAAATCAGAGCATCATCGGAGATACGTTCTTGTCTTGCTGTTAGAGAGTGTGTAAGGGTGTAAGGGTGGTGGTGGGAGCCATGAGTCTTTCTACCATGGCTGTGCCCCTTGATCTACATTGGAAAAGGTCAAAGTGTGTATACTCTGTGGTCTGCATTAATCAGTCTCTTATGTAGCTCTCTGCCCTTCTCTGCCCTGCTCATGTCAATGTGAAGTTTTTTGCATAAACAAAGTCAAAACATGTGAAGTTCCTTTTTCCTCCAGAGTATCAGAATGTGCATAATAAATAGAAAATCAAAATCAAATAATTGTTCTGTACAAATGGAAATAGAGAAGAGTGTCTCTTAGAAAACACTGAGCCAAAATGATGCATTTGATTAAAGGAATGATAGCAAAACACTGACCTTTGTTTTCCTGGGCTGAACTGAAAATTGGCAGAACATGCTTCTTCCTTCTCAGTACAAGAATTGGATTAAAGTCACTGCAGTTTTGTATTAGATGGGAAAGGGAAAAATATCATCTCTACTGGGTCCTCTCTCAGCTGGTTTCTCAATATTCTGTTCTGCCAAACTGTATCTTCATTCTGCTTAGCCCTTTGTGACGGGCCATTCATTTGCCCTGTCCGCTGTGTCTGTCTCAAGATGGACTCTTTATTAGCCAACCAAATGGGAGGAACAATTTAGTCCCTCTTAGTCCAAATTTTGTTTTGACACACAATATCCTTGAGAGGCACGACATCATAAAAGGCCATTGATATGAATATTCATGAAATGACATCTTTGCTAGGTTGTAGCCTATGCTTAACTGTTTCCAATATACTACACTAAAACTCCTTTGCTTTATGCCACTGGCAATGGATCTTTCTCATCGCCTTCATTTTTATGCTGTGTGTATGAATTAGAAATAGGACTATTGCCTTGGAAATTGTGAAATTAAAAAGAACAGGAAAAGATTTGTATTCTCTTTTTAAAGAAAATACCTAACCAAGTTAATTTAAATGATTAGATAGATATAAAAAGGTTTCAAGAATCTTAGATAGATAGAGCAATTAATAATTCTTTAGTTTAAATATCTAATAAAATTTCTTTTATTTGGAGTGAATTTTAAAAGTAACCACTCAAACTTGCTGGGGTGGCTTTGCATAATCAGGGGTATAGTCCTCAACTTTATAGATTCAAGAAATCAGTATTAGCCAAGTGGATAAGACTTATGGGGTCTAATTCATGTGAACCAAATGCACAAGAGACTGAAACATAAACACATTATAAGCCTTCTATAATCATTGAGATAGATAATTACCATTTACTGAGTGTCTATCTTAGTAACAATTTTAATGAAAGCCTCTTCACCTAAGGGGATGTGTCATGTTGGCAAAGCAAATAGAGTTGGAGCTTCTGCAGAAAATGATGGCTCTGAGTCTCATTCAGACCCCTCTTAGGTCTCTAACTGGAGGTCTTTCTCATCTGCAATACAAAGGTGACAGTGTCTACTTCTAAGATTGATCTAATGTATGGAAAGCATTAAGCACAGCATCTGGCACATAATAAACACACATTAAAATTCCTGTTGTTATGAGGCCTAATACCCAGCACTACAGAAAAAAAAAAACCTATCATGTTGTCATCATCATCATTGTTGTGGTCTGTTATCACCAGCAACACATGAAACAGTTTTTATTCTCTCTGATTCAAAGCCTGAGTTTTCTCCACATCATCATTCTGCCTGAGAGAGTTGTGTTGACTAATGGGCACTGTCTGCTCTAGTGAAAATCACACACAAGAAATTGGTTTATAGTGGTAAGGCAGTTAGTATAGAAGGCTATGAAATAAGGGGAGTCAACTCGATAAACTTAATGTTTATGGTTCCTGACTCTGTTTGCCTGATATATCTGTGTTTACCATGGAGCTATCATGGCATAATGACCCAGTAACTGGGTTAATTTATTCGAGCTGACTATTCCAATCACCTTCAGTGTGCCTGCTTGCCTCTAGTAAGTGTGGTGGAAGGTCTCCAAGCATTGGGATAATCTAGGAGCTTGTTGGGAATATTGTTTTAGCCCAGTCTCTGACCTGCTGACTTGGAATCTGGATTTTAATCAGATTTACAGGTGATTCAAATGCACAGTCAAGTTTGAGAAGCATCAGCTCGGGGTATTCCTCAGTCTGTCTCTTAAATACTTGCTTTAATCTGTTACGTGCAGGCTCATACTAATTTCATACCAATAAGGTAACCTTAGCCCTAAGTAATTTTATTTGCAAGCTGTGTGGCTTTATACAAACTGTCTTTTTCTTTCCTCCATCACTGTACAAAAAAATGTTGCACAAAAGAGACTAAATAAGAAAACTCTTTTTTTCCCAAGTCTTTGTTTAAAAATGCCTTCATTGCTCAAGTTTTGGATGTTGGCAGATGTCCTCATTTATATTTAAGGGAAAAGATAGTTTTATATTTTTTGGTTATAGTTTTCAAGTTTGCTTCTGCACAAGATAATTTTTATTTTCTGTCACTTCCTTGAAGTCTTCTTTTCCTTTTACATTTTGTTTTTCTGGTATGTTTTCTCCATCACTGCTGCTGAAGCAAGCTCAATGTCAGCCTGACACACACCAATTGGAAACCTGGCGATGCTTTTGGAAATTTTTGGTCTTCTAGTTTTTCCTAAGAGAACATGGAGTTCATCTGTGTTTTCAACCTCTGATAAGTGGATATCCAATAAGCTACCAGTTCCTTTTAAAATCCACTTGGATTTTTAAAGAGCAATCTGTTATCGTGGTGTATGTTGAGTTTGGCCTCCCCAAAAAGGCATGATTTGTCAAAGCCTAACTTCAAACTTTTGCATACATCTGCTGAGCTTGTTCATGGAGATAGCCTCTCTGCAGCCTGTCAGTATCCCACTTATCTACTCGTTCCAGTGAATGAGTAGAACTGACCATAAATACTGGTCTCTCCAAATTCTATCTCTACTATAACACATGAGAATCTTTCCAAACAAAGTGGCAGTCCTTGTTGGTCTTCAGATTCACAGAGCCAAAGCATAAACTATTAAAATATTTGTATGCATCTGTGTCATCCATTCTTATGACTTTTGACCCTATATATTTAGCCGAGATAATGAAAAATAATTTCTCCATCACTTACATAAACATTTTTTCCAGTCTCATTTATTTATTTATTTTTCAGATTCTGAGTCAAGTTTCTTTTTTTTTTGAGACAGGGTTTTGCTCTTCATTTCAGGCTGGCCTTGAACTCACTTTGTAGCCTAGGCTGGCCTCAAACTCACAGTGATCCTGCTGCCCCAGCCTCCTGAGTGCTGGGATTACAGGCATTTGCCACTACACCTGGTGATTTACCTTCATTTTAGCCTTGTTGTTTAGAGAAGTGAAAACATATGTTTAAGTATAACCTCCAAAATTCAAATACTAAGCCAAGTGTTGTAATCTAAGTGTCTTGGGCTTTGGGCCGTTCTCTCATTAAATATCTGATATTGTATAACAATTGCTTGGTGAGTTTAATATTTATTAATCCATTTTCTAAGTAAACCAGAGAGGGATTATTGATTTTCTTTACTAGGCTTATCCTCTCTTTTAGCAGATCCATTTAGTGACAAAGATGCTTTTTCTTCGTGTTGTCAGAAGAGCTAAAAGGGAAGTATTTTCAGCTCCACAGATTTCTACAAGGGAGGCAATAATTTAATTATGCTGCATATATTCATTTAGATTGAAAATTCTTATCTCTTCTACCAGTAAAAATGACTTTAAAAGAAAACATTGTAATTCCAAAAAGAGCAAGAGAGTGTTTGGGCAACAGGATGACTCAACTGAAAGACAGCTTGTAGACAAAAATGGTACTCTTGTTAGTTTATTTTCTTTTGAAGAGGTGTAGGGCACCACAGAGGGAGGAACTGAACATTCCTAGGTGTAAATGCTGCTGAGGGAATGTCTCCTAGGCTGCTCAGAGCTGGGACTCCTCCTTGATTCTTTCTGGATGCTGAACAACTAGCTCTGGAACTAAATGAGAATCTTTGTAGTGAAGATAACTTTTTTTCTTCCATGTTTCATACCTTTTATTTTCATATCTTTTATGCTTTTTATTATTTTTTGATTTGCCATCTAAACCAAGCAAAGTTTTGTGGGAGTGGAAAGACCCCAAGATCTTACCAATTCTAAAATCCAAAAGGTTTTTCTGTGACCTAACAGAGTCATCCTTAGGTACCTTGGATTGGTTTCCCCTCCCACAGATACCAAAATCTGAGTAGGCTCAAGACACTTATATGAAATGACATAATATTTATCTCTAGATTACTTATAATACCTAATGCATTATAAATGCTATGTAAATAGTTGGTATATGGTGTTGTTTAGACACTAATCACAAAAAGGTCCGTATATGTTCAGTACAGAAGCAATTTTTTCTTTCAAGAATTTTTGATCCATGGATGACTTTACAGATGTAGAAACTACAGTTACAGAGAACCAACTGTATATAATATACTCAGTGCAGTCACTATCTCAGTATTTCTTGCCCAGTAATAAATTAGTATTTTCTTATTCAGGAAATGTTTTGTTTCCATAATAAAATTAATGTCTTCTAAAAAAATTATGACAGGGAAGTTGTCCAGTTTGGACTCAAATTCACAATCCTCCTGCCTCAGCCTCAGAGTACAGGGTTATACAGGTGTGTGCCACCATGCTCAGTTAACAGTCAAGTTCTCACTCACTTTTCTTGCTTCACTGATTTACTACACCTCAACTAGACCCCTGTGTTCAGCCAAAGTAGTCTACAAACTTTTTAAAAAAGCTTTTATGGAAATATTCCACTTATTTTTCTTTCAAATCCTTCCTCCTTTCTTTTTTTTTTAAATTCTTTTATTGGTATGTTTTAGGTATACAATACATTTACATTTATCATTGGGTGCTTGTACCTGTAATGTGATGTATCTTGGTTCTTATTTTTTTCCCCATTACTTGTGTTCCCTTCACCCCCTCCACCCTTCCCTATTTACATAGATTTTGTTTCCATTTTTTTTTTCTTTTCTCATAATTTTTCCTTTCCCTTCT